AATAAAATTTTGAATCATCACCAAAAAGTATACAGATCTTAAGATTAATATAACTAAGAAGTGTGTCAAGTTTTAAGTAATAATCATAAACTGTTTTTGAGATACGGCGCGACATGTGAAAAACCCCTCCCCCTTTTTTAACAAAATACTCAATATCTCTAAAATAAAATTTTGAATCATCACCAAAAAGTATACAGATCTTAAGATTAATATAACTAAGAAGTGTGTAAAGTTTTAAGCAATAATCATAAATTGTTTTTGAGATACAGCGCGACATGTGAAAAAACACACACCTGTTTTAGTTATTAAGTCCCGTAACTCAAAAAGTTTTAATGTTATTTTCACCAAAAAGTATACAGATCGTTTGACCATCATAAGAAACAACTATGTTTAGTTTCATGAAATTTGGATAAGTCATTCTCAAGTTACGGTGCGACATGTTTACGCCGGACAGACAGACGGACAGACGGACGGACGGATAGACGGACAGACAGACAGACGACATTTGTATACCATAATACGTCCTGTCAAAATTTTAACGGGCGTATAAAAATGTGTTGTTTTTCAGCTCCCTATTTAATTCACAATCTAATAAAAAACGTTTTTCATTTTCTAATATGTTACATTTAAGGCATAATCTCTGCTCTCTAGGAATGTCAGAATGCCTTCCTTTTTCTATATTCAAATTATGATCTCTAATTCTTAGTTTTGTTATTAATTTTCTATATGTAAAGTTTGGTTCTTCAATAGTCTTCAAAAATTATATTTTGCTGAAGGTTCTTATATTACTTTTTTCATCAGTTTTTTGCATTTTATTATGAATCAAATTTTCAAAGTAGTTTTTATATTACCTTTGAATGAACTATTTATTTTTAGGTCGGAACAAGTCTTGATCTTGTAGGATTTGTGTAATATCTTAATTAATATAAAAATAAGAAGATGTGGTATGATTGCCAATGAGACAACTCTCCACAGGAGACCAAATGACACAGAAATTAACAACTATAGGTCACCGTACGGCCTTCAAAAATGAGTAAAACCCATACCGCATAGTCAGCTATTAAAGGCCCTGAAATGACAAATGTAAAACAATTCAAACGAGAAAACTAAAGGCCTGATTTACGTACAAAATAATGTAGAAAAACAAATATGATATACAAACAACAAACGACAACCACTGAATTACAGGCTCCTGACTTGGGACAGGCACATACAGAATGTGGTGGGGTAAACATGTTAGCAGGCGCCCCCAACCTTCCCCGGAACCTGAGATAGTGCAACATATGAACAAACTATAACAAGAGTGCACACACTGAAATGTCTCGCCTTCTTTACTAACCATTGATATTATGTTGATAGTCCTAAATATAAAGCTTTACTACAACTATCAACCTTACAATCATTCAATACACTAAATATAGTTGACCTATTGCTTATAGTTTCTAAGAAACAGACTTAACCAAGAAAACTAAACATTGACCAATGAACCATGATAATGAGGTCAAGGTCAGATGAACCATGCGAGGCAGACATGTACACCTTAAAATCAACCTATGCATTAAATAAAGTTGACCTATTGCTTATAGTATCTAAGAAACAAACTTAACCATGAAAACTTAACATTGACCAATGAACCAACAAAATGAGATCAAGGATAGATGATACCTGCCAGACAGACATATACAGCTTACAATCCTTCGATACAAAAAATATAGTTGACCTATTGCTTATAGTTTAAGAAAAACAGTCCAAAACACAAAAACTTAACACTAAGCAATGAACCGTGAACATGAGGTCAAGGTCAAATAAATCCTGCGAGACTGACATGTGCATCATAAAATATTTCCATACACCAAATATAGTTGACCTATTGCAGACATGTACACCTTAAAATCAACCTATGCATTAAATATAGTTGACCTATTGCTTATAGTATCTAAGAAACAAACTTAACCATGAAAACTTAACATTGACCAATGAACCAACAAAATGAGGTCAAGGATAGATGATACCTGCCAGACAGACATATACAGCTTACAAACCTTCGATACAAAAAATATAGTTGACCTATTGCTTATAGTTTAAGAAAAACAGTCCAAAACACAAAAACTTAACACTAAGCAATGAACCGTGAACATGAGGTCAAGGTCAAATAAATCCTGCGAGACTGACATGTGCATCATAAAATATTTCCATACACCAAATATAGTTGACCTATTGCATATAGTATTAGAAAAACTGACCAAAACTCAAAAACTTAAGTTTGACCACTGAACTATGAAAATGAGGTCAAGGTCAGATGACACCTGCCAGTTGGACATGTACACCTTACAATCATTCCATACACCAAATACAGTAGACCTATTGCATACAGTATAAGAAAAACAGACCAAAACCCAAAAACTTAACTATAACCACTGAACCATGAAAATGAGGTCAAGGTCAAATGACACCTGCCAGTTGGACATGTACACCTTACAATCCTTCCATACACCAAATAAACTAGACCTATTGCTTATAGTATCTGAGATATGGACTTGACCACGAAAACTTAACCTTGTTCAATGATCCATGAAATGAGGTCAAGGTCAAGTGAAAACTGTCTGACGGGCATGAGGACCTTGCAAGGTACGCACATACCAAATAAAGTTATCCCATTACTCATAATAAGAGAGAAATTAACATTCCAAAAAATCTTCACTTTTTTTTCAAGTAGTCACTGAACCATGAAAATGAGGTCAAGGACAATGGACATGCGATAGACGGAAACTTCGTAACATAAGGCATCTATATGCAAAGTATGAAGCATCCAGGTCTTCCACCTTCTAAAATATAAAGCTTTTAAGAAGTTAGTTAACGCGGCGCCGGATCACTATCCCTATGTCAAGCTTTCTGAGACAAAAAGGCTCGACAAAAATCAGTTGAAAAGGCTTATCTCATCAGATCGATACAGAGCAATAAACAAGTAACAAAAACACAGAGTGGCAGGGTACTTATACATCTCCATATTGTATTAATTGTAAGTCTTGTCTTGCTGATCATTTTTGCTTATTTAAGTGTCTAACTATCTATTATAATTTTTAAGATATAAGGCAAAAACTAAATAAATTGGTAATAATCGTCATCAAAGGGCAATAACTCTAATAAGGAGTTGACTGACTATTTCGACCATGAGACTTATTTGTATAAATTGTCTTGCTGATCATTTTTGCATTTTAAAGTTTCTCTCTATCTATTATAGTTTTCAAGATAATAGGCAAAAATAAAAAAAAATGGTAAAATTTGTCATTTAAGGGCAATAACTCCTATAAGAAGTCGTCTGACAGTTTTGACATATATGGACAATTGGTAGAGCTCAACATTCTGAACATTTGTGCTTCTGTCATATTTTCTCTATTTATAACAGTTTTCAAAATAATAGACAAAACTTGCATTTTACCCCTATGTTCTATTTTTAGCCATGTAGGCCAGCTTGGTTGGTAGGCAGGGTCATCGGACACATATTTTAAACTATATACCCCAATGATGATTGTGGCCAAGTTTGGTTAAATTTGGCGAAGTAGTTTCAGAGAAGATTTTTGTAAAAAATTTGGATGAAGAAAACTTAAGTTAGAGTGCCGAACTGAAAAATTTGCAATTTTCCAAGTTATAAAGGAGAACCGTTAATGACATACTGCCAAAATTCGAATCTGTCTGCTTGTTGTGGTTCTTAGCATTGTTTGAGTTTTATAAAATTTGGATGATGCAAACTTAAAGAAGAGAGTGGAAACGAAAAAATTTGCAATTTTCCAAGTTATAAAGGGGCATAACTCTAGAACGGTAAGTGACTCACTGCCCAAATTTGAACTCTGTCTATTATATATATATGGTCAAAAAGTTATACATTGACCTTTTATAAATATATATATATATATATATATATGTATAACATTTTCTGTCTATAATATACATGTATATTGTTTTCAAGATAATAGCTCATGAATTGATTGTTTCTGTCATATGGTTTCTTTGTAGACCTTGCATCATGGTGACCTTACAATTTCAGTGACAGTCCATAAAATGCACTATTTTAGGTGTTGTAAATAAATCATATGACTTGAATGTAATTGTAAATAGGATCTTCAGGGGTGTATCCAGGGTACTTGAAAACTTAACTGAAATTAATATTGACTAATGAACCATCAAAAAGAGGTCAAGGTCAGATGAACCCTGACAGACAGACATGTATGTCTTACAATCATTCCATACACCAATTATAGTTGACATATTGTTTATAGTACATGTTTCTCATAATTTGACATAAATGGTCAAAACTATGAAATTTAACAGTGACCAGTGAACCATAAAATTGAGGTCAAGACCATCAAGGTCAGATGAAACCTGCCAGATAGACATGTACATATTCTATTCATTCCATACATCAAATATAGTGGCCCTGTAACTTAAAGAGTATCTGACAAATAGAACAAATCAGAAAAAATTAACATTGACCAATGAACCATGAAAAAGAGGTAAAGATCAGATGAAACTTGCCAGTAAGACATGTACACTTTAAAATCACTACATACTACATAGACCAAGTTTTGTTGATCTATAGCTTACATTATCTGAGATAGGGACTTGACGACGAAAACTTTACCTTGATAACTGATCCATGAAATGCGGTCGAATATACCAAATGTATTTATCCTTTTAATCATACTGAGTGAGTACTTCACATGACAAAACAACTATAATTTTTTTTCAATCAGTCTCACTGAACCATGAAAAAGGACAATGGACATATGACAGACTGAATCTTCATAACATATGGCATCTGCATATAAGGTATGAAGCATACAGGTCTTTTACCTTCTGAAATATAAAGCTTTAAACAAATAGTTTACACCGCCACCTGATAGTAATCCCTATGTCTTGCATTCTGCACCGAAAGTAGCAGGCCAGACAAAAATTCTCCAGAATAAAAACATTTTGGAAGCTCATATGTGCTAAAAACTTACCTGTCCAAGTTGTCGTTTAATGTTTTGATACCTCTCTTGAAGCTGCTCAGCCATCAATTTAAACTGGTCCCTTTCACTTCTACAATGGTCCAATTCTTTACTTATAATCATAAGGGCTTGGCATTTGCTTTCCAGTTTCCTCTTACAAACTTGATACTACAAGAAATAGAAAACAATAATCACAATAATTGTCCTGAAAAAAGGTAGAATCATTAGCTACCTACATATCACTATTTAGGTTTAACTACATGTTACATTTGGCAATACATGTATACGGAAGGAAATATTTTGCAGGTTTGAAAACAAGAAGACAAAACTTCAAGATCAGCAGAATCATCAAACATCGAATTTGTTTACAAGGCTTTGACAGTAAGGGGCATTATATCCTTTTTAAATATCTATATAGGTAAATTTATAAGAAAAATTAAATGCTCCACTTGAAGCAGCTTGATACGATCGCAGAGGTCGAACCCTAAACAGTTGGGGCAAGTATGGACACAACATTTAAGCTTAAAACAGCTCTGAATTTGGATTGTGATTGAATATTTGACACAGCATAGGTTTGTGACACAAAATGAATGTGGTCAAAGAACTAAAAAAATTGAAATTGGACAATTACCTATTATGGTCCAATATCCAAAATCTAAGTACCTGGTTAGAATCAGCATATCAAAGTACCCCAAGAATTCAATTTTTGATGAAATCAAAAAAATTTTTAATTTAGGACCCTTTGGACCTCAATGTGGACCAATTTGATAATGGAGCCCAAAATCCCAAATCTAAATACATGGTTAGATTCAGCATTTCATAGAACCCCATAAATTCAATTTTTGTTGAAATCAAACAAAGTTTAATTTTGGACCCTGATTTGGATCAACTTGAAAACTGGGCCCAAAAATCCAAAATTTAAATACAGGTTTAGATTCAGCATTTCAAAGAACCCCATATATATATTCAATTTATGTTGAAATCAAACACAATTTAATTTTGGACCTAGATTTGGATCAACTTGAAAACTGGGCCCAAAATTAATAAAATGCTTCGCTGAGCGCAGCCTGATACGACCGCAGAGGTCGAACCCTGAACAGTTGGGGCAAATTTGGATATAATATTCAAGCTTGATACTGTCTGAATTTTGATTGTGATCAAATTTTTGACATTGTAAACGAAATCCGGAAAATTATCATGGTTTTTCCAAGTCCGGGTCCGTAATTAGTTTCAAATACCGAAAGTGCGGCCATTTGCAATGTTTTTGAAGCACCTGTTGTGCAAATTTCTTGGATTTTAACCTATTTGGAATACCTTTTGACATAAATAAAATGTTTTACTGGCTCTCTGTGCCAGTAGAAGCAAGTTAGATAAATAATTATGTCCATTAACAGAAGTCTGTGTCAAAAACAGGGTCGGTTGACACCATTTTTTTTTTTTTTTGAAGATCCAATAAAAAAATTAGGGTCAGGGCTAAATAAACATGGTCGGTCGGATTACCGGAAACACAGATTTTTTTTTCTCGGCCTAATATAGGTTTCTGACACAAAATAAATGTGGTCAAAGATCTTACAAATCTATTGCGCAATACTGTGCAATTGAAGATTACTTCTTGAAACTTTTACAAAATTTGAAATTTGAAAATATGAATTCCTCAAAAAAATTGGAAACCCCCCCCTCCCCGCGACTTTTGGAATCCCCCCTTGGAGCAATTACCCCAAGACTCAATCCAATTCTTTCCTTTGTAGTATGGAACCTTGTAGTACAATTTCAGAGAGATCCATACACAACTAACACAAGTTATTGTTTGGAAACTACAATAATGCATGTTTTTGGCCCCTAATTCCTACATGTTTGAGGCAATTACCCTCAAACTCAATCCCAGCCTTCCCTTTGTGATATGGAACCTCATGGTACAATATCAGAGAGATCCATACACTAACACACAAGTTATTGTCCGGAAACTACAAAAATTGTTGTTTTTGGCCCCTTTTAGGCCCTTAATTCCTAAACTGTTTGCCCCATAACCCCTAATATGAATCCCAACCTTCTACTTGTGGTATTAAACATTGTTGTACAATTTCAGAGCAACTGAAATACTTATACACAAGTTATTATCCTGAAACTAGAAAAATGTTTGTTTTGGGCCCCTTTTGGGCCTCTAATTCCTAAACGTTTGGGACCATCATCCCCAAAATCAATCCCAACTTTCCTTTTGTGGTATTGAACCTTCTTAAAAAATTTCATAGAGATCCATTAACTTAAACTAAAAGTTATTGTCCGGAAACCAATGTGTCTTCGGACAACGACGCAGACGACACAGACGACGTAGACGACACACACGACAACGACATCATACCATTATACGATCCCAGAAAATCTTTTGCGGTCGTATAAAAATCTAAATACATGTTTATTTACAGATAATATAAGCTTAGTTTTTTAAGAAGTTCGCTTCATCAAAAAAAAAATGGGGAATGTGTCCATGGGACACAGATGATGCCCCCGCTTGCATATAACTTTTTAAAGGGACATAATTCAAGAACAGTAAAAGTGACACTACCCAAATTTGTACTTCATCTGAGTTTTTTCGTAATAAGCATTGTGTATAAGTTTCATAACATTTGATTGAGGCAAACTTAAGTTAGAGAACGGAAACGAAAAATTCAGCATTGCAAAGGGGCACAACTCTAGAGCTATAAAAGTGACGCCACCAAAATTCACACTTGATCTGTGTTTTGTGCTAATCAGCATTGTGCATAAGTTTCATAACGTTTGGTTGAGGCAAATTAAAGTTCGAGAACGGAAACGAATATTCAGCAATTATTCCATTTGTAAAGGGGCATAACTCTAGAATGATAAAAGTGACGCCACCAAAATTCAAACCAGATCTGTGTTTTGTGGTAATAAGCATTGTGTATAAGATTCATAACATTTGGTTGAGGCAAACTAAAGTTAGAGAATGGAAACAAAAAATTCAGCAATTTTTCCATTTGTAAAGGGGCATAACTCTAGAATGGTAAAAGTGATGCCACCCAAATTCAAACTAGATCTGTGTTTTGTGGTATTCAGCATTGTGCATAAGTTTCATAGTATTTGGTTAAGGCAAACTGAAGTTAGAGAACATAAACCAATTTTGGGACGTAGGGACGTACGTCCGTACGTCCAGACTGACAAGGGTAAAACTTAATGCCCCCTCCGCTACGGCGGGGCATAAAAATATATATAGCATTCAGAAAATTAGTTTATACAGAATAACAAACAAACCTACCACAAACTTCTTCAAACAATTTACCAAAGAAAAGAAAAAAATAATTTCCAAAATATCATTTATCTTCAAAAAATCTATAAAACTTATCTGTAATCATCTTCAAAATATCTAATAATGAACAGTAAATTTCAAACTATATTTACACTTTCCTACAGAGTTTATCATCAACAACACTTAGGAAACACAAAATTTTCAAATAAATCTGTCACTCCAATTATAATCGTGTAATTGATTTTACAATCATTTCTTATCATTAAATTGATTAATGTAGATTTTGGAGCGCATTGCATTTGCGCCAATTTTTTAAAAATCCTATCTTTTATTTGCGCCACAAGGTTATATTTCATTTGCGGCAAAAAATAATAAATGGGGAATGTGTCCATGGGACACAGATGATGCCCCCTCTTGCATATCATATAAAGTTATAAAGGGACATAACTGAAGAACAGTAAAAGTGACGCTACCCAAATTTGTACTTGATCTGAGTTTTGTGGTATTAAGTATGGTGTATAAGTCTCATAACATTTGGTTGAGGCTAACTTCAGTTAGAGAACAGAAACGAAATATTCAGCAGTTTTTATGTTTATAAAGGGGCATAACTCAAGAATTGTAAAAGTGACGCCACCCAATTTCGAACTTGATCTGTATTATGTGGTAATAAGCATTGTGTATACGTTTCATAACATTTGGTTGAGGCAAACTAAAGTTAGAAAACAGAAACGAATAAAATGCTCCGCTGGGCGCAGCTTGATACGAACGCAGAGGTCTAACCCTGAACAGTTGGGGCAAGTATGGACACATCATTCAAGCTTGATAGAGCTCTGAATTTGGATTTTGATTAAATATTTGACACAGCATAGGTTTCTGACACAGAATGAATGTGGTCTAAGAACTTAAAAATTTTTAATTTACCTATTCAAACCATATCATTATTATTTGCTTTTATATATAAATCAGAAATAACCAACTTAAAATGAAAAATTTTAAAGAAAAAAAAAAAGGAAAAAAAGGAAAAAAAAAATCCCCCCCAAATTTTTTGAACCCCCTTATGATTCATCACCCCTAAACTAAATCCCAGCCTTCCCTTTGTGGTATGGTACCTTGATGCACAATTTCAGAGAGATCCATACATTTGAACACAAGTCATTGTCTGGAAACTAGAAATGCTTCTTTTTTTACCCCTTTTTGGCCCCAAATTCCTAAAAGTTTAGGGCAATTACCTCCGAACTCAAACCCAGCTTTTCCTTTGTGATATGGAACCTTAGTACAATTCACAAAGATCCATACACTTACACACAAGTTATTGTCATGAAACTAGAAAAATGCTTGTTTTGCCCCTTTTTGGCCCCTAATTCCTAAAATTTTGAGGCAATTACCCCCAACATCTATCCCAGCCTTCCCTTTGAGGTATGGTACCTTGCAGTACAATTTCAGAGAGATCCATACACTTGAACACAAGTTATTGTCTGGAAACTTGAAAAATGCTTATTTTTGGCCCCTTATTCTAATTGTTTTAGGCAATTACCCCAAACTCAATTGTAGCTTTCCCTTTGTGATATGGAACCTTGTAGTACAATTTCAGAAAGATCCATACACTTACACACAAGTTATTGTCATGAAACTAGAAAAATGCTTGTTTTTTGCCCCTTTTTTGGCCCCTCATTCCTAAAATTTTGAGGCAATTACCCCCAAAAATCAATCCCAGCATTCCCTTTGTGATATGGAACCTTGTGGTACAATTTCAGAGAGATCCATACACTAACACAAAAGTAATTGTCTGGAAGTTACAAAAATGCTTATTTTTGGCCCCTAATTCCTTAACTGATGGTACCAAAACCCCCAAAGTCAATCCCAACCTTCCTTTTGTGGTATTGAATCTTATAGTAAAATTTCATAG